CACGCCCCGCCCCGCCCCGCCCCGCCCGTCAGCGTCAGCACTCGCAGCGACCATCAGCCTGCCAGCCAGCCCAGCTGCGCCGCCCGAGCCCGGCCCTCGGCCCGGCCTCACCTGGCTCCGGAGCCGATGATAGGATCACGGGGGAGTGGCGCGGGTGGATGCTGCATGGCTGCGGGATGGCGGAGCAGGCAGAGGTGAGCTAGTCTGCCGCCCGGGGGATCAGCGGAGCGAGCGGAGCGGAAGGGCGGGGGGAAATTGGAGAAAGGGGGAAAAGAGAAGAAGGCGGGGAGGATCCGAAGGCAGAATCGCTCTGCCTCGAAAAAGGGGAGCCTTGCTCTGCTTTAACGGCGCGGTCTGAGTGAGTGTCTGTCTCTGGGACCGTCCCGCCCCGCGCACCCTGTGCACAGAGTCACTGGAAGACAGGTAGTGAAATAAAAAGCGTGACGAAAAAGGTGGCATCTTAGTGAGTTTATACGGAGTGTCCCATAGACCTCGAGCAATAATTAGTTAAACTGTAGAGCGGGCGGGCTGCCTACTCGGCTGTTAGGCGATGGTGAGTGGCGGCAGGCAAGGCAAGCTCGCTCGACCTGCGTACAGTGAGTGTAAGTGTAACTAACTACAGGGCCTGCTGTGGGGACGGCCGATGCAGATTGCCGTGGACGCCTGGACGCTAGGTGCAAGGAGGTGAGGTCTCGGGAGTGGTCCCGGGTCCTAGATGCGGAGCGCGCGGTTGCTGCTCGAAGCTTTGGAAGCGATATCGGACCATTCATTGCGATCCCCCAGGAGCCCAAAGGTACACGGAGGGCTGGAAGGGATGTGGGGGAACTCTCTGGCGGGCCCGCCGCCCCCGATACAAGCAGGGCCGTTGGGCCGTTCCAAAGGATGAGTGAGTGGCGCGCATTTGGTAGTCCGGCTACGCCCCCCACCCCCACCCAACCTCGTGTTTAGGGTGATAAATATTCCGAGGAGCTCCGCCGGCCCGGCAGCGGCAGAGCGCTACACTGGGGCGTAGCTCAGCCAGGGCGGCGGGGTGAGCAACCCCGCGCGAGCCATCCCGCCCTCGCGCCCTGCACCCCCTGCACCGGGTCGGGGACGGGGGCGGACCATGTCGACGGGTCCTAGCAACGTTGTCCGGTCTCGCCGCGACAGTTTCACGGTGCTCGATCTCGCCAGGGACAGTTCAACGTTGTCCTGCAGCATACGGGCTCCACACACCTACAGTGCCTGTCGAACAATTCTACGGCTATGGTTAGTGCCGGTGATGAGGTCGGGGAGTTCACAGGCACACTCGCATCGCACGCGAGGCACTGCCACAATCGGCCGTAAAAGGTCACGGAAAAAAATGAGTTTTGTTGTAGGGTTCAACTCTCTTTGATAGGTTAAATTCGATAGCTGGCATAAAGAATTATTCGATACCTACAACCAGTTGTTTGTTGTCACGACCGGACACTTGTACGAATAGAACAAACATAGAACAAACTTATTGGTTCTATTCGTACAATGCGTGACAACCAACTATGGGAATTATAAATTCTCGATTCCAGCTATCTAATTAAGCCTATCAAATAGAGCTGATTCCCACAACAAAGTAACAAAGTCATTTTTTTCTGTGATGCTTTCAACTGGACCAACACCGGAAATACTTTTGGGAACCTTTTGTGAAGCGTGTATTATTCAATAATATCGCTGTGAAAAATCTTGCTGCCGCTCTACCTTTGTGTGCGTTCACTACTACACGGCACGTAAGCTAGGTACAGGTGCACCGCGTATGGCGGCAGCTCATGGGACTAGACTCTAGTCACTAGAGAAAGTAGCGTGATTGCCACCACGGCCCTAGTCTCCTTTCTAGTGCCGCTCAACAACTGCTCGAAATACTATCAGTGAGACAATATGGCAGTCATAGTCATAGCCCTAGCACTCATAACTTGCTGGCAGGACGTCCACGGCAAAGGTATCAACTCAATCATCGTAAGTTAATTAATTACGACCCTTTTAGAAAGCCGATTTAAAATACGATCTACACTCTTACGAGCGAATAGTATTGCTAAAATGAACGCCTCTGTTCGTGTTATGAAAATCACGTTCATATTATGAAGAATTATGAGCTGAAATATTATTCCAAGGAGGAATTTGAGCCGTGACTGTCGCCGTGACGTGAAATGATCCCCTATTTTGACATCTTTTTGCACTCATCCTAAAATCGATGTGACCAATAATTGACTTCTGACGTCATAATGAGTCACAAATGACATAAAATTCCTCCTTGAGTACAACCACGATTCGTTCGTATAATTTGGCGGTCTTCATAATTTTAATGATTTTTGGATTCGTGCATTATGAAGGGAGAATCGATATCTTAGTGAGGTACTGATCCTAAAGTCGTTCGTAATATGAACGAGAGAACGCGAGGATTCATAATACAAACGAGCGCGAATAAGTTCGTATTCGTATTATGGAAGCACAGGAATTGTTCATATTATGAACACGAGGTTCATAATATAAACCCAGGTAGAACACAATCGTCAAAAACTCGCAAATGACCCTAATTTGGCGTGAAAATAAATAAGCTCATTCAGGTTACCTAGCCGCAGTAAATGTTGACGATCAGCGTCAAAATGAGGCCATTTTGACATCATTTTGTCAAACGTGTTCTACCTGGGAACAGAAGCGTTTTGAGAGTGTATGTTGTCACTGTCCTAACGAGCAGGTTTCACATATCTTTTTGTCAATAGGGCCCCTACATTAGTTACGGCGAACGCTTTTACATGTGTGAACCCGACGACCGTCCCCTTCCCTGGAGATGGTTTTTGCGTGCGACTCACTTCAACCCATATAAACCAAAAGAGTTGCAACGCCTGACAGGCAATATCACAGTTACAAATGGAACTTTTGATGACAACTGTTCGGTAAGACATTGTAATAAGATACGATGAGATATTATACAGGGTGATCCATAGACCCCTTCCTTTATTTTGCTTATACTATACCGCATGCAGGCGTGCGGGCTGGTTTCAGAACTATTACATAGCAAATCTTTATTTTAACAGGGAGAGGTAACTGCAGCTGCTCGTTCAAATAACCAATGGAAGGAAAACGCCTTTGTCGCCCGATTTAGAAACAAAGGATGTCAGGCTGTTAAAGAAAATATTCCTGGCTTTTACAATCTGTTTAAGGACAAAGAAGTGAAAGGCACAGGCATGTGCAAGTTTCCGACTGTAAGTATTTAGACTGTAAGTCTTTTCTCACCATACCGTTACGTATTTCTTTTTCTGGCATTTTACGTTTGGATGGTTAAAATTGTTGCTGCTGAAAACCGAGGGGGGCACAACTCTGGCAATCTGATGCACACCCACCCTGGCGGACTAAGATAATCGTCGGCAATATCTAGCCAATTGGATCCAAATGCGATGCTTTTTGCCTACATTCGGGGTGAAAGTAATGCGTGTTTTGCCTACTTACAAGCGTTTTTTGTTCATGCCCCAAAAGCAAAATATTCATCTCGCAATTTGGCAATCTTAGCAATCTGGTCAGGGTTGTTGACGCTAATTAGCGCGTTAGCGGCGCTAACCGCGCTAACGTCATTTTTGTTAGCGTTATCGTTAGCGCTCTAATTCTTTTGTAGTGTTAGCGTTAGCGACTAGCGCCGTTAATGCAGCCTGTTAATTAGCGGCGTTAACGCTGGTACCTGCAATACGTCAAATTACTACATTTTCGACGCTAGCGTGACAGCACTAGACGATTCAAAGTGCTCTAAATTTCGTGTTTTTGCATCGTCCTCGTCAGGAAAAGACGGACTTAAGCGATGATTCGTTTTGCGTCAGTTAACGCGTGAACGGCGTTAATGGCGCTAACGTGAGTTTCATTAGCGTTAGCGTTAGCGCGCTAAATGTTTAGAAATTTTATCGAGTTAGCGCGCTAACGCTAACACGTCTCATTAGCGTTAACGTTTAGCGCGCTAACGATTTTTTAGTAGCGTTAACAACCCTGAATCTGGTGTACCGGGTGAAACTGTGAATACGCAGCAGTGTTGCGGGTTTGCCTACCCCTTTCACCCGTAAGGGGCCATGGCCCCTGCGGCCATATTGAGTATGCAATCCCGCAACACTGCTGCGTATTCACAGTTACACCCGGTACATTACCAGGCAGTTCAGATCATCTCGCTAAAATCACAAAGTAATTACAAATGTGAAGGTTGTAAAGACTTTTATTTACAGGGACTTTACGAGGTCAATAATGCCCCAGTGAACTGGAGTTTCCCAAACTTTCCAATCCTACCTTATGGGCAATATAGGTTCAGACTCAAGGCTCTCAAAGCTGAAACCCTGATGGCATGCTTGCTGGTAGATGCTAAGGTTGTTCCGAGACTCGGGTAGAACTACACTGCTTATGGTTACTTTTTTGCTGTACACATTCCACAATATGTTGCAGCTTTTGCGTGGGGTACAATTATATGATTAAAACTGGGGATAATACTATCGTTTTCTTTATTGAAATTGAGCAAGCTTGCTCTGTTCGCAGCCTACTCTCTCCCTCTCCATGTCGCAGCCCTCGGCTCTCAGCCCGTTGCTAGGGTTGCTCGCTTGTTGCGAGTCTCTAGCGGACACCCGACAGAAAGAAGAAGAGTCTCAGAAACACGGTCGCGCCTTTCTTTACCAGGACGTGTAAATATAAGAAATAATACTCAGAAATGTCTGACAAAACGGGTAAAACCCGCCAGTGAGTACTACCCACTCATACACACGCGTACACGGCGGGGCGGTGCTTCCTGCTTCCGGTGGTATTTTTGTTCTCCGACCTCCTGCCCCTCCCTCTCGCTCGCTCCTCCTCAGGTGGCGTCGCCCCGTCGCCCCCCGCTGGCTGTTGGTGGTGCACTTTCCGGGAGAGCAGCCACAAACGCCCCCCCCCCCCCCCCCCCCCCCCCCCCCCCCCCCCCCCCCCCCCCGGCCCCCCCCCCCCCCGTCGCCCCCCGCTGGCTGTTGGTGGTGCACTTTCCGGGAGAGCAGCCACAAACGCCCCCCCCGTTCAACTCTCTTTGATAGGTTAAATTCGATAGCTGGCATAAAGAATTATTCCGTTGCGTATAGTGGACGCTCCGGCCGCCGAGCGGAAACAGAGCGTCGAAAAGAAAGCGGAGGCAGCAGCTGCGGAGGCAGCAGCTGCGAAGGCAGCAGCTGCGAAGGCAGCGGCGGTAGCGCCTGACTTCCCTCTTCTCCCCCTCGCCCCCTTCTGCTCTCCAGGAGCGCTGCAGCAGCAGCGCCACAGCTTCCTCATCGCGACAGTGTTTCCTCCCTCGCTGCGCGGTTCCTGGAAATTGCTGTACTTCCCCCTCTTTCCACCCCCTCCCCTTTGCCGTCGCTATGGCGGTGTGCTGAAGGGGGGTGGGGGAGGGGCATTCCTCTTTCTGCTGCTCCTGCTGCGGCCGTGGCCTGCCCCATCTACCCCATCTCCTCATCACCCCCTCCCCCCCCCCCAACCTCGCCGTCGCTGCTAGTTTCGTTATGATTAGCGGTGGACGCCACCTGTTTGAGGGAGGTCAGTGACCTGGGAGAGAAGAGAGGGGGTAGACTGTAGAACGGCGGCGCCGGAGGCACAGCGGGGCTTATCTGCCAACATACGCCC